TATATATATATATAATCTTGCCCACATTTTGGGAAGCATGAGAGAAAAGCTGTTTTTATAAGGCTGAATACAAATACTTACATATAGCTGGAGGAGGTGTGAAGGGTTTGGAAGACATTATTGCTCACCATATATAGCTTCATCAGAAGTCCTTCCTCTAGGTCAGAGGGTAGTATTACCAGAGGTTAGGTAAAAGTCCTTCTGTGGTAAGCATTTCAAGTTCTATTTGCTTAACAGAATTTCTAGTTAATAAAATTGATTTATAGTAGAAATTTTATGAGCCATGTTTTATAGTTTGGTTGATTTATTTTGATAAGTGTGTAAGATAAATAATAGTCTTGCACAGTTCTATTTATGAAACTCAGAAAATTTTGTTCAACAAGTTCCACATGTACCCAAAAGAAATATATTATCTCACTCAAACTTGTCTTTGTCTTTACACAGAGGACTGTTGAAACCTTTCATTCAAGAACTTTTCATGAACATGTGCCTGGATTAAAGAATTAGTGAGGGTTTTGGATGTTAAATTATGTACATGCATTCTCTGTGAATAAGCCACAGACATTGTTTTAGAATTGAAGAAAATTTCCTTTCATTAGTGAGACTTGTCTTTTCCCATTGCTTATGTAGCCCGTTATTTGGCTAAAACCTGAGAATTCTGTGTATGATTTGAGCAAGAATAGCTCTTAGCCCAGAAAGATGTGAGATGCCTTACAAGCTCTCCTCATGAACAGTGTTCTCAGAGCAGCTGTCCTACTCTGTCCGCAGAACTAGTATTCTTGTGCTCCTAGAGGGAGAATCCATCCTATGGCTTTTCTGAGTCATGTGGAGAACACCTTGCTATGGGCATTTAGCACTTAGAATCAAAGGATTTGTCAGGACCAGCACAAGACAGCATGGAGGGGCATGCAGGGATGCAGTGACAAAGGAGGGAAAAGGAGCCTTGCTGGATACACCTGAACTGCAGCATCTCCTACCTGCCAGTCCACACACACCAGCTGCATGCAAAAATGAAAAGAAAAATAATTATAGCAGCTACCTGATAAAAATCACATTGTCAAAAGTAAAGAGGGCCTGGGAGATAGCTCAGTGGAATAAGTGCCTGCTTGGCAAGTGCGAAGACCTGAGTTTGAGACCCAGCAACAAAAAAAAAAAAAAAAAAAGAAAAGAAAAGAAAAAGAAAAAGAAAGAAAGAAAAAGAAAGGAAAGAGAATGTTTTGGTGTGGAGAGTCCAAAACTGGTGGTGAAATATTCCCCCACAGGTTGTCCCTGGGAGCTGCTTTGGTAGAAGACCCCGCGGTGCTATAAAGCCACAGTTTCAGCCAATATTTTCTTTGCTTAGAGCTGCCATCACCAAGGATCCTGAAATGCTATTTCTCTTTCTATGAATCTTCCTTCTTTCTATGGTGAGAATAGAAGCTGCCTTCCAAGCTTAACTGAGCTCTATGTGTGGTCTATAATGAAAACTGTTAATAACTGAGGAATAGTTCAGCTTCCAATATGTTAGCATCATTTGTTAAAAATTTTTTGCACAAAAATTATTTTGTGCAAAATCTTGCATTTCTGAAGTTGTGTACAGCAGATGCAGAAACACTCTGTGTTCTTCAAACTGCATGTGATTATTTCCTGAAATCCCTTTCAGTGTTTGGAAGACATCTGACATGCCTGCCATATTCGCAGATTTTACATTTCTGGGTTTGAGGAGTTAAAAGACGTACCGATGTGTCACTGCCATATCCGACAGTCTTTCCAGTTGCATAGTTCTTGGTGTTACCTTTCCTAGGGTTTCAGGCTTGGCATGTAATGGAACTAATTTAATTTCCTTCCAGGGAGACAGCCAGCTAGCCTGCTGCCTAGGGCACGCAACCTCAGCTTGCTGTTCTCCTTCGCTCATTTATTCTATGTGTGAGATGCAACTCCTCAAACGGCAAAGGCAGAGCACCCAGGCCAGGAAGCTGCAGATGGTTTTTAGTAAGAACAGAGTCAGCATTTGAGTCTCAACCCCGACAGTGCACATCACACAGGGGTGACAGTAGAGGCACAGCTTCTAGTATGAGTTGGCTGCAGATGACAACCTGCCAAGCTAAAATAATGCAAGTGGCACTGGTTGTATAAAAACGAATCAACTTGGCCTAGTTCTAAGGCATTTTACAAGATTCTAAGAGTACCACTCCATTCATTCCCTGATGCTGTTTGTTTTATTTTACTTGTTCATGATGGGAGAGCCCAGAAACACATACCAAAAACAACTTCCTAGGACGTATCGTTCAGCAACTTTATTAGTGCATCTTCATCTGTAACTGATTTGACAGACTTTATGAAATAATTTAATGAAAGACTCTTGGTCACTCAGTCTACTGGCCTATTCACATTAATTAACATATCTCTCCTATCTAACCACTGAAGAAATGAAGGTGAAAATAGTTACTGTTCCCAACTTACCAGTGGAAGGCCTGAAGTTTAAACTCAGCAGTATTTATCTGTAATACCTTGGCTCTTTCTATGCTGACATGTTTTTCTGTCAATCTCTAGGCTAACCAGAAATGTTCTAAGTTTCAAATTTTAGATGTGATTATTTAAGAAATTTTTACAAAAGAAAATAGTACACCTGAATGTTTATATACACATACATGTATGGTACTTTTTCCTAACTATACATTCCACAACAGGAAGAACTTTCTGATGTTCTTGTAAATACTTGTATTTTTGATTTTATTGCATATAGACCTATCTTACAGAAAAGGCTCAGTATTAAGCCCAGAAAATAGAGAGATACATTACAAAATAGCAATGACCCTATGATGTTGATATATCACATGATTTTGAATATTGCAGAATTTACATTGCTTCACAGAAAACCAAGAGAAAAAAATTAATCTCTGTAAGATATCATCTTAGAAGGTACATTGTAGTTCTATTTGTGTATCACATACATGTAACAGGATACAGTGTGTAGATAGTTATATTTAGGTACATAAAATGACAATCGCTGCGCTCATTGCCGAGGTAAAAGCTTGGCAGCACTTTTTGGCTTCTACATCCTCAAACCTCTTTAATTTCTGGTGGACTTCTTGAACAGCAGCTCTTTCTTTTCTTTTCTCTCCTACAGTTGGACAGTGTCACCTCCCTGATTCAAGCAGCCAAAAATTTAATGAACGCCGTGGTGCAGACAGTGAAAATGTCTTACATCGCCTCCAGCAAGATCATCCGAATCCAGAGCGCAGCCGGGCCGCGGCACCCGGTGGTGATGTGGAGGATGAAGGCTCCGGCAAAGAAACCCTTGATTAAAAGAGAGAAGCCAGAAGAAACGTGCGCAGCCGTCCGGCGAGGCTCGGCAAAGAAAAAGATCCATCCCGCGCAAGTCATGAGTGAATTCAGAGGCAGACCGGTCTACTGAAAGCGCGTGCCTCTGCAAGGGCCTCTAAACACCGGCTAACCGCGCTGCGCTCCCTTACAATTTCCAAGTTCTGTAATTTTTCTAAGCTTTGAATTTAACTCACAAGTAACATAAAGCATTGGAGGCTAAACCAACGTAAGCAACTACATTTGGGAAGGTGTCACTGTCATTTCTGGGTGGCCAGCTCACCCTGGTTAATTACTGCATGCCTGCTTAGTGAAGGTAATCTCCAGGCACCCTCAGTCTGTCCCAGCACGGGGAGTGTTGTCTTCTAATGACCACAGGAGCATCTGCAAAGCAAGGCAGTCCTGCTCATCTGTAATAGTTCATGTACACAGGCGCTTTTCATCATAAATTAAAACATTGACATAAGTTCTTAATTTAGGGTGCAATGGAAATAAAAACATTTATGAAATATTTTTCCACTTAATAACATAACTTATCTACCCTACCGAAAGTGGTTGAAAGGCCTAATTTGGATCTCTAGATGTCTGTATCCATTGTCAACTGATTAGTCTAAGCTTCTACCAAAAATTAACCAAATTGGGGCAGCAGCTCCTCATGAGATTTTGTTTTTAGCAAGATGCTTTAATAGCATTCCAAAGGCTGTGGTGCACTTTGGTGCCCTACATGGTGGGGCTTCACTGATTTCATTACATCAACCAACTCCATGTGCAGACAGTGAGTTATCCTTGTTGGAGAAATGAGACATTAAACTGTGTCTCAGACTGAGTCTGAAATTATATTTCTAGCCCTTATCAATTGCAGTTAGAAAGGCCATTTTGAAAACTGCCTCAGCGTGGTGGGAAACAGAACTCTGCGTCCCTGAGCTACGAAGCAGAACTAATGGCTCTAGGCTAGCGGCCGGGGTGAATGTCATCTTTGTTCTTTCCTTCTGCTCTTTCCAGCTTTCCTTTGCCTTCTATTTTTATTAGTGTGTGTTTGCAATAGAGAACAATTATGTTTGCTTTGAGGAGTTGACACATGCATGTGATGTGTGTTACCTCTCAATTAGGTTCTCAGATTCATTTTCCAAACCCAAGATCTCACCCCAAGGGGAGTTCACAGCGAAGGTTCCAATTGTCCCGATTCCAGTGTCCTGCTTCTCTGTCCCGCTTTTCCGTCCCGACCCTGTTCTTGGCTTGCTGGGCTTTCCACCTTCTCTTTGGAAAAGTTGAGTTACAATTTCCCGAGTAGGGTTTCTCTTCTGTGACTTCTTCTGTTCATCCTTGTCCCACTTTACTGACATAATGATGTGACTGTGCACCTCTCACTTGCATGATGCTATTAGTAATGGGTCCCTTCATCAGCCATGATACTTAAGATAAATGAAACAAAATGTATGTCTGCAACACCAGTTCAGGATAGGAGGAAAAGTTTGGGTAAAAGTATGTATAAAATTAGGGAGACAAAAATGGAGAGCATGATTATGTGTGTTAGCATGACCAGAACGGTAAGGGAGAAGATCTGATACGTTACTATCAAGGAATTATTTCATTTTTCCCAAAGGGTTGGAGTCCCTGGCTCTGTGGATAAATGCATGATGAATTGGGCAACTCAGTGCTGTCTGTCTTGCTACACACTTGCCCCTAAGAATTGCTCAGGCCCAAGTCCACTCTAGGAAACAGGTGGCAGTGAGCAAGGGAATTAGGTGACACAAGTGACTCTGTTTCTAGCACCATGTAGACATTTGAGGAAAATAGGAGCTTCTTTTGTTGAAGTGCCGGAATCCTTTTGTACTTGACTAGCTGAGTAACTGTGGTACATCCTCCTCTCAGAAGCCTGGATTTATGACTTAGTGCCAAATGAATTCTCCTTAAGGTCACAATGCCCAGCTGTGTGGCGAAGCTTCTAGATCTGAGCACCCGGGAGCACAGGTATCTCACCTACAAACCTGAGTGTCCATCTGGCCCTGCGTAACTTTCCATATGCTGGAATGCAGATGTAGCACCGTGGGCCCAGGCAAAGCGAATGTGAAATCGCACACTTATCGCATAAAACCACTTTACATAAATGAGACTTGAGCAAGACCTTTTCTTTCATATGGTAAGATTGCTACCGCAGCTCAAGAAAATACTGTTAGACCAAAACAATGAGAAGTTCAAATCCATGGAGTAAATTTGCTGTGGTAATCAAAGGTGGAATTAAAACTTGAATAAAGCTGAAAAATTCATCTGTGGGCTCGAGTAAATTTCAGCAGTGGACAACACTGACAGATTTAATTTGATTCAAGCTTTCTCTAATAAAAGTGTTTATGTAAAAGAAAAGCTAGCAATAATAATACATAACAGACTTTGTAGAATAAAGCAGTATAAACTGCATCTAGTGTTGGCAGCAGAAAAAAATTTGATCAGTAAGTATAAGTTTGTTGAACATATTTATATTTAGGCTTTATTTTTCTTCAGGGCCACAGCAAAGTTTCTTCATAGGAGTTAATTTGGCAGGCTCTTACACACTCTTTGAAATCACATGGCAGAGGTTGGTTCCTCTTCAGATAACTCACTTGGCTGGCCCTGATCACTAGAACGCGTCTTTCTCTGTTAGTGAAATTACTTTGTGTTAATTTTATGAAAAGCTCACTGGAGAGGAAGGAGAGGTTTTGTGCCCCTTGAGGACAGTCCCTCCCCGCTTTGCCACACTCAGCACTGGCAAAAGTTCTACTTCAATCAGAAAATAATTTGGAAATCATTCCTGAAATCATAATACACTAACACATTCTTCTAATTCTAAAAGGTGAACGATTTTCATTAAACATGAAAGATGAAACTATTAACTTCTCTTATTTCCAGAAAAATCAAAATTATTAGATTAAAATACACCTTCCTATTAGACTTTCAGAGTTCTTAAGTGAGCCGGAAAAATTCTATACTGAACACGAACTCCTAAGTTAGGTAAACGTTCCTTTCTGCTTGCCTGAGCGCAGCCTGCAGGTGAGGTAGAGCCTGCATTACAGGCTTCGTATTCTGAAGAGCCCCTGTGGACCTTCGAAAATCGTTCACCTGAGGACAAGGGTAGCTTATGCGTTCCTCAGAAGTCTCTCCTTACAGGAAGAAGGGCACCGCAGCTGCGGAGAGAGGCGAGTTCGTGAAATCAGCATCAGTGATGCTCTGAGCTTCAAAGCAGGTCTGTTTTCCAATCTCACTGTTAAAATTGTAAATATACCTTAAACGCCCAATTGCACTACCAAACCTTAAGATTTCTCTCCTTCATCTGCATAACAAGTGGCTACCAACATCACCGCGTGAGCAGGGTAACCTCCTCAGCGCTCCTTTCAGGGCGGCACTCCGCTCTCGGCACGCCGGCCTTGTCCAGCGGACTCCGGCAGCTCTCCTCCAGCATGGCCTGCCCTGGCCAGCGCCCTGAGCCAGAGGAGAAGAGGACCAAGTCTCCACTCCCCTCTCAGATCCCGACACGCGTGTCATACACAGAGGCTGGCACATGTGTTCTGTAGGGTTTTCACCCCTTAGCAGAGTCACTCTCACAGATTTTCTCATCCCAGGAACCTTCTCAGCTTTGGGTGTCAAGTCTGTATTTCTCTGCTGGGGTCGTAGCTCATGGGGACGGATTTCTATACCATGGCAAAGTGTGTGGAAGGAGACCTGAGACCCTCCTGGTGTTTCTGACCATGCATAGCGCATCCCTCGCAGGACCACCGGGTTGTTCCGTACTGTCATAAGTGAATTTCTAGCTTGACAAAACAGGTGCAGAACCTCAATTTGAAAAAAACCCATACTTCCCTTGCCACAGCAACTGGCCTATCCGGGGAGTCAGATCCCCAGCTTGTGTTTGTCGAGCTAAAGGAAATTGTTTTGCTGTTCAGAGCGTTTAGGGACATCCAATTAAAAACGAGTGCCCCTGTTGAACAATCCTTCTTAAGCTAAACTAGGAAAATTTACCTGACTTGGGTGCTTCTGTGGTCGTCCTACCTGTCACTGATCAGGACATACTTATTCAGAGGAGATTGACCTCCGTGCAATGATGATATTTAGCATTAGTGCTTTGCATGTTAGTACCAAGTTACCAAGTCGGATCTAGGGATAAAAGCATGATTACACGTACAAGGTAGTTTAAGAAATTTTGATTTTGGCCCTTTTGGTTGAGCTAGGGAAAAAATGAAATATTTTTAAAACTGAGGGGATGTACCTGAATTTTAATAGCTTCGGCAGTTTAGTAACACTGTCTTTAACATCTAGAGGAAAACAAATTAAAATTTTAAGCACATTTTTGCATGAACAAGAACATGTTTTCTATTAAAGCAAAAGAAAGACGTGTTCAAACATTAGCTATTTTACATGTAAATACCCCCACAACAGAGTTGTCACAAGTGATTTTGCATAAAATCCAGCTCCAGGGGCTTCAAACAAGAACATTAGTGCTGATGGAGAGGGTGGGCCCTAAAGGGCCTGAAGACGCTCAAGCGGAGTCTGTTACGCGCTGTGAGGCTGGCTCTGGGGCACATCCTGGGCAGGAAACCTCACAGGTGTGCACAGGCTGTAAGCAGTTCTAGTGGGGAAAGTGTGGAAGGCAACTTTTGATGTGCACTTGGCAAGTGGAATAAAAAGGTTCAATGGCAGAGGATTTCCAAGTGAACATGTATGGGAACGCGTTGCAGGTTGAGGAGGGAAAGTGAGGGGCAGGCGACTCACAAGCAGGGAGAGAGTGGGCCTTGGTGCCTTGTCCTGAAGACAGACATAAGGCTGGATGCGTAGGGGAAAGTTGATGGTTTGTTAATATCAGAGGCAACAGGATGAACTGTGCAAATACTGGTGATAAGTTAGTAATAGTTTACAAGCTGAGAAGCAGGAATTAAGCCATTCTCCTGGCAAACCAGGAGAGAATCAGAATGACCACACACTTACATAGCCCACATCTCTTTTTTGAGCATGTGTAATGTTCCCCCCCACTGCTCTAGGTTCCTGGGATATACTGACTACTCGGATCAACCTCGTCCTCATGTATCAAGTCTGCAATACATGCTGTTGTTGTACTTAATACTCCCAATAACAACATGGGTTAGAGGGAATTGCCAGGACCCACAGTTAAAAAAGCTGAAGCTTATGCAGAATGAATCCTCCTCACATCCCACTGGCTTTGCACATTTTACACCTCAAATTCTGAACTATTAGCTACCATTCCATCCAGACTTCTTGGAAATAGAGACTGAATTCATCAGTGGCTAAAGAGACACAAATTTCAGATCCTGGCTGATTTTCTATGTAAAAGCAAAAAACAGTATGAGATTTAGGAAAATGCATGTCCATCCTGCCTATGCCACTCAAAGCAGATGAGAGTTACAGGAATAATTTGCTGCCTGCTCTTGCCTCTTATACCTGAATATAGTGCAACAGCTATGTGAGGAGTAAATATTTTTTCAATGTAATGCTTAAAAAAAAAGACAGCCCTGCTGATTCATTCTCATCAGTGTGGAGGAGGCAGCTGCAGGGGTGAAGCCTGTGGCCCCTCTTTAGCACTGGCTGAAAGACAACACCATCTGTTGACACCACTTAGCTCCTCCTTTCCTGGTAATGTGGACCTGTGCTAGTGTAAAGTTATGAACTGCAGGAGAGTGTGGCCAAAGGCTTGTTGGCAACGTAAGCTGAAGGTTCGCTGCGTTTCTACTTCCATGTGATACCAAATATATCGCAATAGTCCCTTGTGCATGGACACCAGAGGTGTGCATACTGAGAGCCTGAGTGTGTCGAAGCTTAGCCCTAACTTCGTGCTTTTGTTTCTCTTCCTTTTCACTTTTTGGGTGGGGCAGGATATGCTCTGGGAGCTGACAGCAGGACCCGTGCATGCCGGGCACCAGTCTGCAGCTCAGCTGTGTCCTCAATTGTTATTCATTCATTCTTTTCTGGAGGGCAGCAAGGTGGGCTGGAACTGACAGTGCCCTTGCCAGCCTTGGAAGTAGCAGACCCACCCAGTGTATTTCGTTCCTTGGTCAGCTACATGGCGCCCTTGCTGGTGCCACAGCATGGCAGTCCATACCTCAGGCACTGCAGAGTCCAGCCACTGCCTGATATTTTTAATGGAAGGACCGCACCTGTTTCCTTGAATGAGTAGCAGTGTGTTTTAGCTCAGCCTTCCCTCTGTGGTATCTGGTTGTCCTGATGCTGATCTATCTGCTTTGCCAATTGTAGGAGTCCTCAGGAAGGAGATTTTCTTTTTAAATGTCTGGCATTTTTAATAAGCATGTTCAAAGATCTCTTCAGTGCAGGACGTAGGAGCCTCAAAGCAGGCTTGCAGAGTTGGTCTTGCATTTCTATTTCAAAGGAGATATTATCTAGTTCCAAAGGTTTCTTTACTTGACATTTCAAGAAAGATTCTTATGTTAGTTCTGGTTATTTGGCCTAGAAAGACTGTGGCATCTCTTTAAACATTTTAAAGCCTATTTTAATAGCTTTATCAGCCTCTTGTATGTTCAAAGGCCTAGGAGAACCTCGCCCTCATGTTCAGATGGATTGTGCAGTCCAGGTCAGTCCTCAAACTGTCCTCAGCTTCCCAGGTTTGCCCTTCACCCATGCCTTCCACCACTCACCGAGATGCCGGCTCAGGCTCAGGAGCATTGGTGCCTTGGGCTTTCAATAGGAGAGAGGGACTGGAGTGGTAACTCACAAGCCAGGCAGGGGCATTGGGACATTAGGTCCTGTTCTCAGTGGAAAAGAACTTTCTTCTTTCCGGAGGCTTTCTATATAAAACAAAGCCTAGACAGTGCTGCACAACAGTGTCCCCTTGCTTGCTCCGCCATCAGAACTGCCCAAGAAATATAATATAAAGAATTTCAGTAACTGTTTCATAGGGTTAAACTTGTTGGTTTTTCAATATTTCTTCTCAAGCTGTGCTTTCACTTCACTTCAAAGAAAATGTCTGAAATGACAGCATAACTGTTTTACCCTCTGCATCTCTAATGAGCACCGCAAAAGAAAGGCACACATGTGCTAGGCCCGATTTAGTACTTAATAGTTGAGGGCTACCATAAAATTTTCATAACAAATTGGGTGGTTAAAAATGAATTAAAACTTCCAATGAAACATTTCCAGATTCATGTACTCCCCACTCTGATTGCTTTTACGTTCCTGTTATTGTTAGCCAAGGAGAAGTCATTTCTGCACCTCTGTCAGTGGCAGAGGAAGCCTACTGACACCTGCGCAGGAGGTGTACACTTCCTACCTGGGTTGAAGGCAATTCTAGGGGAACAGAGTCTGTGATGAAATAAAAGTAAGTGATAAAAGACAGCAATCTGCAACATAACCACCATTGTTGGATTGCAAAAAGAAGTCATGACATAATGATCATGCCTATCACAGCGGCACCTGAGGAACTCAAGGTCAGCAGTTCCTGATGTGTCAGGCTGTCCTGCTTGCACACCTCACATGGCTGTGCTGTGAAAGAGTGAGCCGAGTGAATGCCCATGACAGCAAGTGACAGCTCAGAGCAGGGTTTGGTGTGAGCTATGGGTAAAATTTAC